TTTTCTGGTGTCACACACGTCCTCATCAACCAGTTATGTTGCAGCAATCAGAGTCGACAGTTTGTCTTTGTTGCTCCCAGTCCTCTGAGGGGAAATCCTCTGTCAGGTCTTTTCTCCGCGCATTTCATTTTAATATGTTAGACTCAGAGGATCCTTCCACTAAATCGTTTATAATCTGGAGATTAAATCCTTTACAACACAAACCTTTGTGCTAAATTAATTTACCTTTCCAACAGAAAACAGGCAACGTCAGCGTCACTTTGAAAACATTTTTCCCTCATCAGAGATTTCCATTTAGGAAAGGCCACACCGATGTTTACCCTCGTTTTCTGCAGCCGAATGACCCGATTCCGTTTTTCTTCTTTGTGTTTCCGCTTCCGTGACGGTGACGGTTCCCGCTCCTTCGCTTTTTCTTCTGCTAAATAATAATTATGATCCTCCATTTGTCAAAATCTGGGCTGTCAAAGCGGTTAGCCATTAGCAGCACCGCAGCAGCCAAGTACTTCCGGTTATTTCTTCTTCTTTGCCTGCTACTTCTTCGTTGGTGTTTTAATGGCGGCTGGTCCAAATGTTGCATTTCCGCCATCTGCTGGATGGGAAGATAAAACTCATCTCTGAAATCTGATCCAACTCTGAAAATGAAAAGGTCATTCCCACCCGGGTCTCCACAGACACTAGTGGAACCAGCTTCAACAGTCTCCGCTCTGAAAACCTCTTTTAACTTTAGAAACGTAGATGCGTCATTGGCCGTTAAATCGTACGTTAACGCCGCCGCCATTTTGGAGATGACAGAACTTGCCTGGAAATAAATAGTGAACAGAAGAGCCGCGATTTTTCTGAATAAAAAGCAATATAACGTTTATATTTCTCGACAGACTGCAAAGAGTTGTTGTTATATTCAAGGATTTGTGATCGACATGTTGTAGAACAAAAGTTTTGTCTGCAGTAATTAACAGTTATTCCTTGTCATATTGTAAAAAAAAAAAAAAAAAGCGAGGATTTATTTTCGTTAGTTGTGGAGACATCTCCATATGATATAATTTAATGTGTAAATTGACAACTGCTAACTTTATTTCTTAGGGACCGTTCTTAACTTATCAGAGGAGGGGTGGCTGTGGTGTGACATCTATTAATTTAATTTAATTTATCTTATTATCATTATTATTTATTCTATTATCAGTTTTATCAGTTTTTTAATAAGTTGCTATTATATAGCTGTGTTGATGTCTTCTTTGACTTGTTTCTAAAAACACTAATGGAGTGGCACCTGTAATCTCGTTACATTTAATATATAATGACAATAAAGCTTCCTATTTTATTTTATTTTATTTTTAACCTTCCCCAAAGCTACAAATATTTGTCTTTGAGCCTCCCTGAGTGACTGACGGAAAGTGCATGACCCTCCCTTCACCATAAATTAGTTAGGCTATGAGATTTATAAAACTCACCCTTGTTAGAAAATTAAAAGTTGAAGACGAAACCCTGGAGTTTGAAAAAAAACCCCTGTTTTTTGCTCTTGTCATGCATGCTGGTTAGTTCATGCAAACAATTTATTTTTCAAATTTTAAATGAGATGTAGGATAAAGTGATTTTGGTGAAATATCACCATTTTAAACTCTTTTTTTTTCTGATGGAAGTGTTTGTCAAGGACCGTTGAAAATTTGAGTCTAACAAGAAATTTCTGGGGTTTTTTTTTTACTGGCTGTGATAAATGGTGTAATAAAAAAAATCAAAAATGGGCAGTAAAATAAATACAAAATACAACCGTTTAAAGTTGTACGCTCCTTTCCTAAGCCAAAATAAGATCACAGTGTAAAAATGAACCACCACATCACTGCTGATCGCCACACAACACAATGAATATAAAGGGAAACTTTGCTCATATTCAATCAGCTGTGTGGCATCACAGTGTGTGCAGAAGAATGGCGTTTGGCTTCAGCGCTGTGCTGCTGCCAGCACCTGGACCTCCACCGCCAGACTGTTGGGGAGCTCTGAGGGAAGTCAAACAACGTTCATCTGATGACACACAGCTGGTTGAATATGAGCAAAGTTTCCCTGCTTCCCTTCACTGGTTCCTGTACAGCAGGGTCGCTCTTTGTTTCACTGTTAGAATCATTACAAAGCAAAAGCAGCATGTGTATACATTCAGTAGGCTATATCTTCAGTAGCTAGCTAACGTTAGCTAACCCTACACTGTTCAGGGTTTGATTTTGGTTTTGGAACAGGGAAGAAACATATATCTTTTTCCAACCTCTCCAGGTAACGAGTATCATTAATACACGACGTGCCCCAGGCACAACATTTAGCTCCAAATCCACAAAACCAGCCTGAAGATGAAGGAAATCTGAAACGACTGCATTAGAGTCAATGGAGCACAGCTGTGTTGTCAGACCCTGGTCTGAGACGGCCTGATGCTATGTTATGATTGGCTGGTCTGTGTCAAGGGGTGGGGCTTAGTTAAGGGTCAGTTAGCTTGTTAAGCTGTCAGCCTATCACTGGGCAAAGAAGAAGTAAAAGGTCAGACCTGGCAACCCTGGAGAAACAGATTCATGGAGCTGAGCAGCTAACAGCAGGGAAAAGTAATAAAGAGTGGATTAACATGAAGTGAAATAAACATCTTCCATTTAGCCCACTAGCATCTAGCTAGCTACTTCAGGAGCTTTAAACTAGTGTGGACTTTAGCTCACTAGCCGTTAGCTAACTTAGTGGTTGAGTTTCTATTGGTCAGTGGATCAAGAGAGGATAACGCTACATTAGAAGAGACCAGAGCACTGCGGGACTCATCCTCAGGCATCGTAGGGTTTTTTTTTCCGGCATCTTCCTTTGGATTTACAGCAGTTTTTTTTCTGTGAAGAACCTCATCAGGCAGCAGCCTCTGGATTTACCCTGGTCAGGATGGTGCAGTGTCGTAAGTGACTAAACTCTGAACGCATGGATTCACTCCTCTGAGCTTCAGAGGAGGCAGAGCTTTCGATTTCCTGGTCCATCTGCGTCCCAACCCTCACCTATGGTCATGAGTTCTGGGTAGTGACTGAAAGAATGAGGTCACAGATACAAGCGGCTGAAATGAGTTTCCTCTGTAGGGTGTCTGGGCTCAGCCTTAGAGATAGGGGGAGGAGTCAGACATCTGGAGGGAGCTCGGAGTAGAGCCGCTGCTCCTTTGTGTCAAAAGGGGTCAGTTGAGGTGGTTCAGGCATTGGATCAGGATCCTCCTGACATTACAAACTTATTTGGGTGTCTGGTTACATTATGGTGATTCTGAATATCATCTTCACACAGCGGTATCACCATTTAGTGCTATATTGTCAGTCCTTCTGCACCAAAAAGTTAGTAACCAAATCATAAGCACTTCACACGTTATCTACCGACACCGATGATATGCCGATATTATCGTGCATCTCCTGGGAAAAACATGTCTAGCATGAGACAATTTTTTTGTCCGTCAATCTTGCGAGTTACAATGGAGCCAAATTTTGTACTTGTATTTAATACTGTCGCAGCTAACCCATGTTTTATGTGGGTTTTAGGTGTGAAACTTAACACTCCTGACTAGCAATTCTTGGAGGTGTAATCTCAGAGCGACGCAGACACTCCACGGCACAAGTTTAAATGCTTACGATTGCGGAGGCCACAGAGCAGGCTCTGCGTAAAGCCTACACGCAACTAAAAATCAGCCCTTTGTTACTGTTTGTTAACACAACATTTGAACTCCTCCTCCTCAGCTCAACAAGAATGAGAGAGCAGCTGTGGTCAAGTGAGCTGGAGAGTGAATGAAGACAGGGAGCGGTGTTAACAAGAACAAGCAGTGACTCAGAGAAACGTTTTTTCCAGGGCTGGGTATCGCTACTGATTTCCTGAATCAATTCGATTAAGAGTTACGATCAATCGAGCTAACGGCTACAGATAAAGGAACCTGTAACGTCGAAGCTTCTTAATACTACAGTTGTTAATAGTTTAGTGCTGGTGCCCGTTAACTACCGGCGAGATCAATGGGGTTAAAGCTTCACACACCTGTGGGAAAAAGTGTATATTCAAAGATCAAGCTGACAAAAAATTTTTATTCACAGCCAAACAGTGGTACTGTAATTTCCGGGGTCCGTCGCGTGAAGCCAGTGGGCCCAAAAATAATTTTTCCTTTAGACTTACATTAGCACAAATAAGAAAATACAGGCAGAGGGCAGGTTCTCTGCTGATACAGATACCACCACACACTGGTCGTGGGTGAAGTGCTGCTATTGCTGCTGATAAAGATTTACCAAATGTTTAGAATCATCTTTCCCCTCCCTCTCATTTACAACAACTTTAACATAGGCAACATTTTACCTATTTAACATCAAACACAAAAGACAATGATACAATGAAGGACGAGACAAACTGTTGTGGTTTTTACGGACACATTTACTTCAGCACTCTTTCACAACAAACTGATCGGAATACTTTGTATGTGGTGTGTGTCTCCTGAGACTTACCTCCACTGGAAATCTTTTCCCACGGACATTACAATCAAATGGTTCCTCTCTTGTGTGGACTCTCGTCTATCTCACTTCTCAACCAAATTATTTCTCTTCTGCATGGACTCTCATGTGTCTCTTCAGACTTATGTTGACTGTGAATCTTTTTCCACAATCGTCACAACCAAATGGTTTCTCTCCTGTGTGAACTCATATGTGTGCCTTCAGGTTTCCCTTTACTGTGAAACTTTTCCCACACACGTTACAACTAAATGGTTTCTCTCCTGAGTGGCCCTTCCTGTGTGTCTTCAGAGCTCCCTGCACTACAAATCATTTCCCACAAACATCACAACTAAATGGTTTCTCTCCTGAATGGAACCTCGTGTCCCTTCAAAGCGCCCTGAACAGTAAATCTTTCCCCACAAATGTCACAACTAAATGGTCTCTCTCCTGTGTGGAGTCTCCTGTGATTACTAAGACACATCTGTCTGGTAAATCTCTTACCACAAATGCCAAAGCCAAATGGTTTTTCTCCTGCATGGATTCTCATGTGCGCCTTCACACATATCTGCAATGAAAATCTTTTCCCACAAACATTACAACCAAATGGTTTCTCTCCTGTGTGGACTCTTGTGTGTCTCTTCAGATCGCCTTGCTGATTAAATCTCTTCCCACAAACAACACAACCAAAAGGTTTCTCTCCTGTGTGGACTCTCATGTGTGAGAGCCAGTGCTGCTGTAGTCCAATTTTTTTCCCACACAAATCACATTGAAATGGTTTCTCTCCTGTGTGAACTCTCATATGATTCTTCATATTCCCCTGTTGTGTAAATCTTTTCCCACACACATCACAACCAAATGGTTTCTCTCCTGTGTGAATTCTCATGTGTGCCTTCAGATTTTCCTGTTGTCTAATTTTTTCCCACAAACATCACAACCAAACAGTTTCTCTTCTGTGTCGTCGCTCCTCTGTGAATCTACTTTTTGTTCCACTCTAAAACATTTCTTACTGACCGAACATCTGGAGGACCTTTTTCCAAAATGAGATTTCATGTGTCTCTGCAGAAACCCTCTGTGGTAACATCGTTTAGTACAGTCAAAGAAGCTGAAGGATTTTTTGCCAGCGTCACATCCGTCATCACTCACAGGGGCTTCTTGATATTTCAGAACATTTACAGCAGACTCAGCTGTCCTGGTCTCCTTCCAACCACTGACACTGTCTTCAGTCTCAGACCCAGAATCTGACATGGGTTCCTGCCAATCAATGTCACTGTCTTCAGTCTCAGAAGAGTCTGAAGCCTTCTCATCATCAGTATTTGGTTGTGAATGACCATGTGGATCAAGGTTCCTGGCTGGTTCTGATCCTCCACAGTCCTCTCCATCAGTTTCTGTTTTTATCTGCGTAGCTGAGCTGCTGGTTGGAGGCTCTGTCTCTCTGCTGTCCTCCGTTTGGCTCTGATGAAGCAGTGAGGACTGAGGTTTCTCTTCATCATCTTCACTCTTCACAGTAACAGAAGTCAACCTGGTGATATCAGCCTCCTCCAGCCCACTGAGCTGCTCTCCCTCTGGACTGCTCCACACTTCCTCCTGCTCCTCTTTAATGTGGAGGGGCCCTGGGTCCTCCTGCTCCATTTTGATGTGGAGGGGCCCTGGGTCCTCCTGCTCCTCTTTTATGTGGAGGGGCTCTGGGTCCTCCTGCTCCTCTTTAATGTGGAGGGGCTCTGGGTCCTCCTGCTCCTCTTTTATGTGGAGGGGCTCTGGGTCCTCCTGCTCCTCTTTAATGTGGAGGGGCTCTGGGTCCTCCTGCTCCTCTTTTATGTGGAGGGGCTCTGGGTCCTCCTGCTCCTCTTTAATGTGGAGGGGCTCTGGGTCCTCCTGCTCCTCTTTTATGTGGAGGGGCTCTGGGTCCTCCTGCTCCTCTTTAATGTGGAGGGGCTCTGGGTCCTCCTGCTCCTCTTTTATGTGGAGGGGCTCTGGGTCCTCCTGCTCCTCTTTAATGTGGAGGGGCTCTGGGTCCTCCTGCTCCTCTTTTATGTGGAGGGGCTCTGGGTCCTCCTGCTCCTCTTTAATGTGGAGGGGCTCTGGGTCCTCCTGCTCCTCTTTTATGTGGAGGGGCTCTGGGTCCTCCTGCTCCTCTTTAATGTGGAGGGGCTCTGGGTCCTCCTGCTCCTCTTTTATGTGGAGGGGCTCTGGGTCCTCCTGCTCCTCTTTAATGTGGAGGGGCTCTGGGTCCTCCTGCTCCTCTTTTATGTGGAGGGGCTCTGGGTCCTCCTGCTCCATTTTGATGTGGAGGGGCCCTGGGTCCTCCTGCTCCTCTTTTATGTGGAGGGGCTCTGGGTCCTCCTGCTCCTCTTTAATGTGGAGGGGCTCTGGGTTCTCCTGGTCCAGGCTGGGGTTCCTCTCGGGGAGAACATCTTGAATCATTGACAGCTGCTGGACATCTGCAGGGAGCACATTATGGACAACTGTGACTTCACACTGATATCTGTGATGTCATTACTTTATGTTGGTGAGATCAGTGATGATTCAGTGTCAATTTCATCTAAAATACTATGAAAATTAAATTGTTGGCACCAGTTTTCTATAAAATAAGAAATGTTTCAGTGTTAAAGTCTTAATAAATAACTGTGGATATTTATTTCAAAACGTTTCATTCTTATTGTAGCTTATTCAGTCATAAATATTTGCTGTACGGTTCCTTTTTGCATCATTCTAGTTAATTCTGTCAGTATCTTTTGTTGTCTTCAAAATTTTTACATTTGTTAAACTTAACTTGAAACTTGAATAATAGCCTAGCAGCTAGCGGACTGTTCCCCTACTCATAGCTTATATAGCCTAACATAATCACATGTATTATTCATACTTCTTCTTCACCGTTGATATGAGTCACTATGTCTCTAGACAGAACTGTGCGGCTGAATTTCAGCTGCGTGCACATTTCTTCAGCCAAACATTGTTGAAACAGAGCAACTAATGTTGCTGTAGTGAGACGTTAGCGGAGTGAGATGCCCAACCAGCAGGTACGTCATGTTTCCTGACTATTTTACCTCATATCAGCATTGTTGACATACGGCATGTCCTCCATCTGTTCACCTGTATTTTCTCTGAAATCTCCTGATATAATTTTTGAGTAAATACCTTTATCCTATTGTCTTCTTCTTGTCCGTTTGTCATCATCTGTCTGACTCTGTCTGACGGTGACACAGATTTTCAAAATAAAGGTGTATCCTACAGGTGATGAAATGAATCAATGTTCTCACTCTGCAGTGATGATACTGGATCACTGATCACTGAATCAACACACTGATCAAGATCCATGTATCGTCACACCTCTAGTTATTTCACCAACACTAAGAGTTACAGGTTAAGCTAACACTCTACAGTGAAGGCAAACAGGTGTGTGTCTCTTACCTGAATCTGTCCCGACAGATCTCTGGACCAGTCCTGATGTGGCTGCTGCAGGTGTGGGGGGCACCACATCCAGCCTTCTGGGCTCTTCATCTGTTTGAAGGTTCCTCCACTGAGGCATCCCCTCTTCACCTGTGATCCTCCTCTTCACAATCCTTGTTTGCCACTCAGAGAGGTGCCTGGAGGCTTTATCAGATTTCAGGGTGTAGACGCTGTAGATTTTGCCGTTTCTCTTGTAAAGCCGTCCGAAACTGTAATTACACAGATTCATCCTGTCAGTTATTTATTACAACAACAACCCTGAGTGCACATGGGAATGAATAATTATTTGCATTCAAGACACTGATTGTAAAAACTACAGTTACTGCCTCTTGGTTGTTTGTCTCGACGAACCAGAAAGCTGCAGTTACAGTTTAAATCCACATCCATCCAGACTCAGATGTAGCCATGACAGTGGCCGAAGCTTTAAATATGGATGTTGCTGCTAAGAAGCTAAATATTCTAAAAGGTGGATGCTCCACAGTAGGGCTGGGCGATATGGACAAAAATACATATCTTGGTATTTACAGGCTGACTGATGATACACGATATATATCTCGCTATTTTCTACAAAATGGGCTCCATGTTTTCAGCTGCACATCAAAGCCACATTTGAGGTGTCACAAGCAGTTTTATAAAAACAGACTGTGATTAAAATAAAATGCAAAGACAGGATTTTTTTTTTACTCTATTTGAAAGTATACAGCTGCACAACAGTTACACCTCCAAAACACTTATTGGCAGCAGGGTTTCTGTGAAGTGCTGTAAAGTTTAGTTGATTCAAAACACACGTTAAACACACATTAAACACACATTAAACATGGCTTAATAGAGACAGTTTCAAACACAACTCAGCTTCACTATAACTCGCAGCATTCACAGACAAACACTTGTCTTTATCTGGACACATTTTCCCCACAAATACAACATGCTAACGTTATTAGCACAAGCCTATGGCATTTTACATTGTATAAATTAGCCTAGCAGCTAGCTGACTTCTCCTCTCCTCATATGAAACCAGGGACAACAGCAACATTTAACAAAGGTAACGTTACAAAATTCAGCTCCATTACAGCTCACAAGGTTCACTGACAAAACAACTGTCTTATACTAAACACGTTTTCCAAACACATACAACATGCTAACGTTATTAGCACAAGCCTATGGCATTTTACATTGTATAAATTAGCCTAGCAGCTAGCAGAAATTTCCTCTAATCATATTTCAGCCAGGATAAATCACACACAGTGTGTGGAGGCTTTATTGTCTTCACAATTTATTGTTTCTTATCTGTGAAATTAAAGTAAATCAAAGCTTTGTTTCCACTGAGGGAAATGGTTTCAGCTTACAGAGACAGACAGGAGGTCTGCGTCACTGTGACATGTAGTTACGTTTCTGGGGGAGGTGCACGTCAGGGTACGGCTCTAAAAAGTGTTGCTGGAAAACTTGTGAGTGAGTGAGGTGGAGCTGTGCGGTGAGTGTGAGAGAGGAGAGATGAACACTGGTATGTGTCATGTAACACAACTTGATCCTCTTTTGATATAAACAGTGTTGTCTAAATTTATATCTTGCTTGAAAATATATCGATATATCGTACATAGTCGTGATATCGCCCAGCCCTACACCACACGATACAATCAGCACAGTTTCAAGATTAGAGTCACCAATTCAGTATCTGACCAAATGTCTCCCCTTCTGTTCCTGAGATATGACGTTAACTTGCCTTTCTGTCCCTTTAGAGGCTCCAATGATCGACACTGCTGGAGCTGTGACCTGTAAAGGTTTTCTCCTCGTGGGAATCGGTACTGCGATACTTCTCGCATAGCTGGAGAATAAACAGTGGGTAAGAACAAAAATATACTTTTTATTTTTCAGACTACAACAAAGTAAAAAGGTGCAGTATGTGTGTAGTATTTTCACAGTTCCTTTTATTTTGAAAGTCAGTGACACAAGTGTAACCTTTGACCCCGTGGTCACATTGGTCACCGACGTGGAGGACTCCAGCCATGAACCTTTGCTACCCGAGGATGAGGTGGCAGCCTACATGGAGTTCAAGACACCCAAGGAGGATCCTTTGGAGGTTTGATGGTGGTGGAAGGAGCATGCTAACATGTTTCCTAACCTGGCAGTGGTTGAATGTTTTCACCATCCAGTCAAAGACACGTCCAATTCAAGAACGGAGAACCAGCTAAATGTGAGGGACTGGAGCCTGGGGGGGGGTTTGATCACAGGTGCGGCTTTGTGATAGACATAATAACAGATAACGGCCATGAATTACACAAAGTTAAGGTGTAATGACTTACTTAACACGATGAGCTGTTACAAAGTGAACAACCGCAGGGGAAAAGGGAGGAACGACAAGCAAAAGCAGACTGAAATCACGGCATGATGGCGGTGAGTCTGACGAGGAAGACTTCTCTCTGAGTCACGAGCACTGGGAAAAGAACACAAAGAGGCCTCAGACGACACCAAGCAGAGGGCAGCATGACAGAATGTTGGGCTCACGTCATCAGGAGCCAGACTATGAGACCACAGAAATAACGTGTGAATTTCAAAAATGCCTGCTTGGAGGTAAATCAGCATCTTTCATATACCCTGTCTCACCTCTCAGTGACAGCTTACCGGCTCCGAACTGTAGTCGGGAACACGCTGGCTTATTAACATTCATTTTAGCTTCTAGTGGTCACCAGCAATGGCTTTAATGCAGCCTTCACCACAAAACAACAAACATGGCCGTCTCATGAGGTCTAACAGATCATCTTGGCACTTCATCCTACTGTTGCCATCACTATTGGCTCCATGTGTCTTCACCATGACACCAGACAGAGCTGCTGCCCTCCACATACACCATGAAGGACATGTCACAGCCTCACAGGTTACCCACAAGGCCACCGCCCTATAAGAGGATAAAGGATGGGTTGGTAACACCTGCATGCCTGGGAATAATAACAATAGTAATAATAATAATTTTTATATCAAATATTTTAATAATAATGTTAATGTGTGCTTTGTTCAGAGTACAAACAAAGTAAAAAATAAATAAATAAATAAATAAAATATCGATGAATCCCAGATTTCTACTAAAACTTTAACACACACAGTTTGTAAATGTTGTCAGCTTCTATTATAAAATGTATTTACATGTTGCTGGGTTAATTTACCTTTCCAGCAGAAAACAGGCAACGTCAGCGTCACTTTGAAAAACATTTTTCCCTCATCAGAGATTTCCATTTAGGAAAGGCCACACCGATGTTTACCCTCGTTTTCTGCCGCCGTCTGTCCCGCTTCCGGTTCGCTTCTTCGTGTTTCCGCTTCCGTGACGGTGACAGTTCCCGCTCCTTCGCTTTCTCTTCTGCTAAATAATAAGTATGATCCTCCATTTGTCATTTGTTGTCAAACTTCTCATAACAAAGTGGTTAGCCACCAGCAGCGCATCACCAGGCACTTCCTGTTTATTCTTCTTCTTCGTTTGCTTTAATGACGATTGGCGAAACAGCTTTTAGCGCATTACCGCCACCTACTGGAGTGGAGTGTGGAGAAGTAGATTGACAGGTAACAAAGCAAACAAACAAAAACTAAATTATCTCTATTATTCCTGATGCTCTTAAATAATAAATAGAGGCTTGTGTAAGTTCCTAAATGTCTTTACGAGTAGATTCACTGATGTCATACTGTGCTTTTCCCAGAGACGTAACTACACGTCACAGTGACGCAGACCTCCTGTCTGTCTCTGTAAGCTGAAACCATTTCCCTCAGTGGAAACAAAGCTTTGATTTACTTTAATTTCACAGATAAGAAACAATAAATTGTGAAGACAATAAAGCCTCCACAAAAATAGCATTTTAAGTCTTGTGTGTTATTTATCCTGGCTTCATGCAGAGTATTAGGGCCACATTGAAGAATTTTTTTTTGGAGATTTCAAGAATAAAGTCGTAATAATGCAGAAAAAACTCATAATATTACGAGAATAAAGTCATAATTTTTAAAGAAATAACCAACAACAAACAGAATGGGTTAGAGGATGAACCTGCTTGTGGCAGCTGCTCTTTGTCTCAGGTGTGTTGCCTCGACACACACATTTACGAGTTTTTTTTCATAATATTACGAGTTTTTTCTTGAAATCTACGTTTTTTTCCCTTCAATACGGCCCTAATATTCCGTTGTATAGGAAATCTCCTCTGGCTGCTAGGCTAATTTATACAATGTAAAATGCCATAGGCTTGTGCTAATAACGTTAGCATGTTGTATTTGTTTGGAAAACATGTTTAGTATAAGACAGTTGTTTTGTCAGTGAACCTTGTGAGCTGTAATGGAGCTGAATTTTGTAACGTTACCTTTGTAAAATGTTGCTGTTGTCCCTGGTTTCATATGAGAAGAGGAAAAGTCTGCTAGCTGCTAGGCTAATTTATACAATGTAAAATGCCATAGACTTGTGCTAATAATGTTAGCATGTTGTATTTGTGGGGAAAATGTGTCCAGATAAAGACAAGTGTTTGTCTGTGAATGCTGCGAGTTATAGTGAAGCTGATTTGTGTTTGAAATTATTGCTACTGTCTCTATTAAGCCATGTTTAATGTGTGTTTAATGTTAACCTTCACAGCACTTCACAGAAACCCCACCTCCCACTAGTGTTTTGGAGGTGTAACTGCAGAGTGACACAGACACACCACCACACAAGTATAAATGTTCACAACAGTGTAGGCTCTACAACTTATCTCCCTCGTACAGCGCCACTGGTTTTTACCAACACATTTACTTCATTCTTTCACAACAAACTGAACATGAGCACTTTGTGTCCTGCAGGTGTCTCCTCAGATTCCCCTGCAATGGAAATCTTTTCCCACACACATGACAATCATAGGGTTTCTCTCTAAGCTAAATTATCTCTGGGTTTGATATATTATATATAAAAAATACAGCTTGCACAGCTGTAGTCATTAACTCATGATATTAGAATTGGGACAAATCATGTGCCAAAAAAACCCCCTTAAAATTATAACTTATTAACACACTAATGTTTCTGGGGTGAAACATTAGTTTTAAAGGATTTATTTATATTCCTCCATGGTACACATTATGATGGCAGCTGGTAAAAAAAAAAAAAGTTTGTCTGTTTTTTTGTTGTTGCTATAAAATAATGATAAAGTAAACATAATGTAATTTTTAATTATTTTATTTATTTATCTATTTATTTAATTATTTATTTATTTATTTATTTATGTGCATATTTTTTTTAGTACTTTAAAGTAATTTTCTTTCTTTTTTTGGAGTACATTTTTACTTACGTTAAGATAAATAAACATGATTTAAAGATATTTAAAGTTTCAATTTTGCAATTTTCACTTCATTTTTTATTTTTATTTATTTTATTATTATTTTTTTTTTTTTAAGCACACTTTTGCATGTGTTAGGTTAAGTAAACATAATTAAAAGTTTTTTAAAGTTAGATTTTTTTTTTTTTTTGGAGTGCAATTTCAGGTATGTTAGGTTAAGTAATTTAATAAGGGAATTTAATATTTTAAAGTAATTTATGATTTTCAATTTTCTAATTTTTTATTTTATTTTTATTAAAAAAATGGAGTACACTTTTGCATACGTTAGGTTTACTAAACATAATTTTGATATTTTTTAAAGTTTCATTTTTCAATTTCTTTTCTTTCTTTTTTTTTCTTTTTTTTTGGAGTACACTTTTGGGTATGTTACCTTAAAGCAACACTGTACCATTATAGTATGTAATAAAAAAAGAGGGCCATTGTTTAAAATGAGTGTGTTAAAGAGTGTACGCATATTTCAGCAAACATTACATCAACACTTTATCAAACCAAACTATCGTAACCTTCTTCAAAACAACACAGTGAGTTCATATTTCAACATCTGATTATTAGTTTTATATTTAAACGCCTGTTTTCAGAGTCTTTCCTGACAGACTGTATCTGTGTTGGTGCACCGCTATAGTCGACACGTTGATGCTGTAACAGCATTCTAGCTAGTCAAAAAGACATTGTATATGTTCAGACTGAATATCATCCTGTGTTCAACCAGAAGCCAACATTGAAATCCCAGTGGGTGCTCACTGGGTGCTGAGGTGAGGGCCTTTGTTACAGTTTGCTGTCTCTGGTGCACTGACATGTTCTCCCCACTGAGGGTCAGCAGTCAGCAACTCATCATGTCTGAGAGAACAGCAGGTCACTCCCTTCAGGTTTCATCAAGCTGGATCATACAGTGACTTTATGTATCATTAATAAAAGGCAGATATCAGAGCTGCTTCCTGTTCTGTTTGTTTATTCATACCTCAGTAAAGGCTGTGATAAGACAGGATGAGCTCAGCATGATGCAAATGCACCGTCACCATCATGTGAGCACATGCTGCAGCTGTTTGCCAACATTAACATCTGCCAGTGTTTTAAAAAACAAATCAATGAATATAATCTCTTCATTGTGGAACAAAAAGCATCTAAATGATGAAGTTACAGTTCACACCTTCAGGATCTTCTTTAATGGAAACCAAAAACACTCTGATAATCTGTGCATACACCCAGATACATCTGCCTCAGTCTGAAAAAGGCCTCATCTTACTGGCTGGTGCTGCTCACTACCAACTGCAGTATGTAATTGTGACGTCCTGCTGCCAGACATTTTGGCAGCGCTGCAAAGCCTGACTCATGGCTTCGGTAACTCCCTAATGCAGCCCCAACCCCGACCATAGCTCACCATGCACATCTGGCTCTGTGTGTCTCCCTCCACACCTCGCAGAGCTCGCAGACACGGTGGAGATGGAGAAGAAACCCAAAGAGGTCACGTGGTTCATCTTTGCTCCAGAGTTTTACTACAGAGAGAGTGAAAGAGGAAAACAGAGAGGCCCTGCATACCAGATCTGCTCTCCCTAAAGAATGCTCCTCTCTCTCTGAGCATCATGAAGTGAAGGACTGTTATCAGTTTGATAAATGACAAAAAAGAACGTTAATCATTGTCTGTGTGCAAGGCGGTCAGTCAGTATTAACCCTCATAATCTGAGTGTTTGCCTGCTAAAATTATAGGAGGTGTCAGCACACAGCTGCCATCTGAATATCTATTCTCACCAGGGCTGCGCCATGAAACAGGAACACAAACATGAACTCAAGAATGACAGTCCTGACCTTTTGCTGGGTCGGCGTTCCTGTTTCCTGTTGGGACAAATTAAGTTTGCGGACACTTTTGGTGCTTCTTAAAGTCAAGGATGCATGATGATATTGGCTCATCATCTGTATAGACCCTTTTACTGTTAGAAACTGTATGATATTTTTTGGTGGGCGGGGCTTAGCTGGAAGTAAACAATTCTCCAGACATTAGCTAGCGCTAGCTAGCAAGTTCTGTTGGCTTGTTTTAGACGATGGAGGAAGATGATGTGAGTGGTGCGTTCAGAAACACTCATTGTGAGTGTGGGAGCGCACTCTGACACAAACTGGAGCGTTGATAAACTGGGAGCGCTGTCTGAATGTAGCGTTGGGTTATCCAGAGCAGCGCACTCTCAGAGTGGCAGAGCGCACTCTGGACACTCTGTCTGTGGAGACGGAGCAGCAGAGCGCCGAGCGGAGTGAATGTGTGATTAACTTAAGCGTTGGTTAATTCATGTAGAAATATAACGCTGCGTTTCTTCCACCAACAGGGCTCTCATTTTAGTGTAGAGCGTCAGACTGAATTTACCAACGCACCATGTCAGGTCACTCACTCTCCGGGACCGCCAGTGTTACTTGAATAAGTAAACACTGACCAACGGGACCAGACTGGCCGACCCGTATGCTCTCACTCAGTGGATGGATGATGTCACAGGAAGCCAATCTTACAAAGGAGGACCACACTTGTTTGTTTTGCTATGGAAGCTAACGTTAGCTAATGTGCTAAAAAGTTAGCGTTGCAGAGAAATCCAATCTTCCTCTTAATCCCTCCCCAGTTTCTGATGAGGTGGACATGATAACCCTTAATACACATAACCTTATTCATCCCTACAACAGGAAATACTTTTTCCCTAACCTGATATGAAGTGTGCGCTGCACATGTGAGCATTTTTGATGATGGCCTCCGTCCAGTCCTTTGGTCTTATCACATTTAACCATAGTTGTCTTTGTTTTTGTTGACGGGCAGTGGCGGCTGGTTTTGAGCCATGACTCCTTCTATTCTGGCTCCCAATAACACAACAAGACAAACACATTTTAACACTCCTGTGGAGCCTACAGCCCTGTGGGGGAGAGGCAGCTGCACCTCCAGGTGATCACATGATGTCATCGTGACATCGGCCCTATAAGGGTCTATCGGCTTTAAGATGAGCTATCAGAATCGGCCAACATGCTATTTTGCACAATGAATAAATATTACATACATTGAAAAGCTTTGTATGTCATGTCTCCATCTGTTGGTGGATAAGATAAGAGCATGTGTGCATAATACAACGGTAACTCCACTACAGTAGAGACTTGATGATCACTAAAATTAGGTGGGGAAAAAAGTGAATATAGCGATATCAGTATCAGTAATCGCTCAAATGAGTTGTTACATATCGGCATATTGGATATCGGCAAAAAATCCAATGGCGTGCATCCCTATCTCAAAGTCAGGGATGCTTCCTCCGTAGTACAGGTCCTCCCAAAAGGCAACACATCCTCACTGCGACCTCGTCACATGTCCATGTTTGGTCATGGACTTTCCACGTCCACATATGACGTCCAAGGTACCCTGGGTGTGTTGGTTGTTGACGTTCTGGGACACCGTGTCAACTTCAGCCTGTTACATGCATTGTCTGTTTTCAAAATACACTTCTGTTTTCACAGGAAATGTACAGTTCGCATACAGTCTCTTTCAAAATAAAAGCGCTACGTTGGTACAACACCGCAAATTAACTTTTTTTTCCCTTCAACAACACACATGGTTGGGTTTAGGGTAAAAGAACAGGGCTTGGCTTTATAATCTCACAGGATATGAAGTTGTCACTCCACGTTTCCCCCTGACGTGGCCGGGCGCAATAAATATAACGGGGACTGCCCCAAAAATATGGAAAACACTGCCTTTGCATATTAGACCTGATAACATAAAGGACAGTTTTAAATGACAACTCAAAACATATCTTTTTTATATACCCTATAACTAGCAGTAATCTGTTTTAATGTATTTTTAATCATATGATTAATTCATTTATTCTTTGCATTTCTCCTTGAATGTTTTTAACTTTATGCTGCATTCTGTGCATGAAAGGTGCTACATAAAAAGTCCATCCATTCATTAAAAAATATATCTATTAAAAAGTCTTTAACTGAAACCTGTGAAAAATATGACCAATGTTTAAATGTTTGTTCAGTGTAGTAAAAATGATAAACTCCGCTTCAGGAATATTCCTAGGATAATAGCAAACTTTGGGACCTGTAAACTTCAGTAACAAACCAAGAAAGACTCACAAACCCACTGAAATGAAATCACAGTTTCCTTTTATACAGATTTTTAAAAGGTGAAAATCAGAGTCAGACATTGCATGATAACGTCTCTCCTTCCTGTTCCACTGTGTAAAAATATGATCCAGTATTTCGGGTTTGTCTGAATATGTATTGATTTGATATGACACAAAAATGAAATGTTAAATACACATATTCCCTGATCTCCATTTAGTCTTTGGTTTCTCATCCCTCCATCAGACCTACAGTGTGTCGTCACTGCTGGTAATACAATGAAATGTATCTGTTTAATCTGACAGTGCATCTGTGATATTGAGGTTGTGATGCCTCAGTCTAGTTTGAGGAGAGTAGCAACAGTAAATCTTAAGTAAATCTGCCCCTTCATTGGCCCGGCTCAGAGAGGAGTCCAGGTGTGGCGGCTGAACGAGCGAATTCCATGGGCGTGTCCTGGCGACCGCCCCGAAATCCAAACAGAGCGAAAATGCCACTGACTTTGTGGTTTGTGTTGTTGTGGAAACGTCCTGAATCACCTCAGACGTTTCCACCTCAGTCACACAACGCTTCATCCCAACTACTGATTCACATTAAAAGGCACTGACAGCCCACACAGTGTTCCCATCATCACAGTGTGGCACCTTGCAGAAATAAAAAGGACACTTGAGTGCTTCAAAAATGTACGATAAAAATAAGTTAAGTCCCTTAAACTGAAACATGTCTCCTAATGAGCTCTGCAGTCACACTCAGTGTCACCTCCCACAGTAAAACACACACACACAGACTCAGAGAGAATGTAATCTAAGTAAATGTCAGAATAGATCTTGGCCACTGCCAGCAGTGCTCTGGCCGTCTATTTAGGGCGGGGAGACAGGATATTTTAAGCAAGTGGCCAACTCAATTGCAGTCTTGTCCCTTGTCAACGCTCTGTATCGCACAGTAACAAGAAACGACTTTGACTCAGCCACAGACTGATTGTATGAGACGCTCTGAAATCATTCTCGTAAACATGTTTTTGGTGATTTGCTAAATTTGGCTGAAGAGTAAATTTTGTTTTTAACACATTTCAGTCACTATTTAAGTTTGCAGCAGCTCGTAATGACACCTCAAAATGTAGCCCTTAAACTGTTGTGTGCAGCCTTGTCGTCTAGCAGCTCTGTGAGGCTGTTCACACTCTCGTGCACTGTTCGTACGTATACGAACGAAAAGTGATGCACCACAGTTAGTATGTATCCCACATAATCATCCATCCATCCATTTTCATCCACATATCCGGGACCGGGTCGCAGGAAGCACCCAAGAAGTCCATCACCCTAGCAACGCTTTCCAGCTCCTCCTGGAGGACCCCGAGGTGTTCCCAGGCCAGATGAGATATATAATCCCTCCAGTGTGTTCTGGGTCTGCCCTGAGGCGCCCAGGAGGATCCTGATAAGATGTTGAACCACCTCAACATGAAGGAGCAGCGGCTCTACTCCGAGCTCCCTCTGGATGTCTGACTCCTCCCCCTATCTCTAAGGCTGAGCCCAGACACCCTACAGAGGAAACTCATTTCGGCCACTTGCATCCACAATCTCATTCTTTCAGTCACTACCCAGAGCTCATGACCATAGGTGAGGGTTGGGACGAAGATGGACCAGTAAATCGAAAGCTCCGCCTTGTGACTCAGCTCCCTCTGAACCACGACGGTCCAGCGCAGCACCCGCATCACTGCAGATGCTACGACAAACCTCTACCCTCTAGAGGCTGTGGTCATGTGACCAATGCTCTAAAAGAAGTAAAGAAGGAAGAAGTCCGTGCAGGGAGGCAGGTTGGGATGGTCGATCAGGCCCCCAGCAAGTGTGTTAAGTTTTGACACAAATTTTCAGAGTGGCCAAACAGTGGCATTACAACTCTGAGTCCATCTCCTGATGCCATTGGACTAAAAAAAATCTTTTCCCATTGACTTGCATTAGGAAAGAGACGTCTGTAAATCAATGGAAATATATTTTTTGAGCATCACAACCTCTACGATATGACTCTTTCCACTATCAGGATTTGATCCATTTGGTCAGATAACATTTGGAAAGTCAAGAAGGGCCACATGATTAAATCATTTTATACCTAGCACTAAACCAGAAGTAGCCTTCTCGGCTCTACGGGCCCAGTCATGCAGAAGCAGCGCCACACATCCAGGTAATTGCACATCCTGGTAATAGAGCTTTTTTGGCTTCATGCACCACTGAGCAGCTTTCACAGGAACGCACGGGGCCCCGGCTTCAATTCTGTATCCAGTTCTCCTTATACATCCATTAGGTGATGGGCAACAAAACAGGACTTTTCCTCAGGAGACCGGTGTCAGTGATCCATCCAATAATTGTCAGATTATTTCAGGTTGAATCAAAGTGGACACTGACACTGACCGAAATGTTTTTAACCAAATTTGACCTGGTTCAAACTTGATGTCTGGACGTATTTTGCAAATCTGCAAATCACCAAAAACATGCTTTCTGGGAGAATTTTTTTTTCTTTTTGATTTAAAAAAAAAAAAAAATCAAATAATAACAATAATAATCTCCATGCCGGACAATCACAGCAGCTGTCATTAAAAAGAATCCTTGTTTCCTTCATAAAAAGAAAACTTCTGCTACTTTTTCTGCTACATACGTTTTTTTAATTTTAACAGCCACTGATTTAACTTTAAACACCACTGAATTCATAGGACTGAAATATTTTACTTTGAAAACCTGAATTTATTGTCCTGAAATCACCTCTTTGAAATTAAAATATGAAATTTCTTGATATGTCGTGTCCATTTAAAATAGTAAGTTGAAAAAAATCTATTAAAAAAAATCAGTCAAATTTGATTCGTCAAATTCAGAAACTAAAGTTAAAAAGTCAAAAAATTTGAAATATAAAAAGAAAATCAGTCAAATTTGAATCTTAAAATTCAGAACCAAAAATTCATGTCAACAAATTTCAAATTAAAAAAAAAAATAGTCAAATTTGATTCGTCAAATCCAGAATCAAAAATTCAAGTAAAAGCAATTCAAATAGTCACATCCAGGCTACCCAGCCTATCCTGTCCTGGTTTGCCATAAAAATTTTTAACTTGAATTTCAAATTTGTGAATTTTAAAAAAATAATTACAGCTTTTGTAATAGCAAATCAAGAAATGTAATTAATGATTAATTCATAATTAAAGAGGTGAATTCAGAACAAATAAAGTCTGATACATGGTTTTCATAGACATATATTCAAATGCCACAAATTCAGTGGTGTTTAATTTTCAGTATTGCGTGTCCAGTGGTTGTTAAAACTCAAATACGTATGTCCCTTATTGGCTTCCATACATACAGTCATTTTGAGACAAAGGAGGCAAGGTCGTGACCCTGCCGGTAACTCGTCATGTGCAGACAGGATGACGCGTTCACTTGTGCATGTAGAGTCGTATGAGGCCCGCCTGGTGCAGCTGCTGCCACAGGGTCATCTCCATACGCAGGTCGTGGTTGATGAAGAAGCCCACTGGGCGGTAGTTGGTGTCGTAGTAGTGGTCAGAGTAGTTCTTATAGTCTGGTGTCATGAAGCCGTACGCGCTCACCTTAATCGACACAAGAGACATAAAACCACAGTCAGGATAAAACAAATTGTGTCATGTGATTACCTGACAATCTAAACAGGTTTCATTTTACGAGCTCTTAAATCATGTTTTGACTTGACTCCTGCAGCCTGAATCATTTTCATTCCCCCACAGACAGATTGAGAAACAGGTCTGTGGGCGATCTGATAAATTAAATCATACAGTTGGCACAGCAAAGAACCATGTCATATTTCCCGAGTGCACAATATCAGAGCTACGTGCATTTACAAGGCCAACTGCTGAGAGTCAAAACATTCTCACGCTATCAGGCAAGTGCAGCCTTGCCCCTCAGTAAATAAGCAGCTGAGCGACAGCAACATGCAACACAGCAGGGATGAAGTTCACCTGGTCGCAGGTGTGCAAAGCAGCCAGCAGCATCACAGCTCCTGTTGACGGACGGTAGATGTCCTTAAATTTGGTTTTCAGAGCATCAGAACGAAGGAATCTGAAACAAAGAAGTAATGACAGCACTGATGAATCTGAAGTTTCACATGTATAATAACTGACCCTCTGTCACAGTGTGGGAACTTCCAGCAGCAGCTCACTCTGGTTTCAGCCTCGCTGCTTCTCTTTTAATCTCATTTCCAGCTATTTGAAACGTGAGCCCTGCTTTCATTCTGTTCGCCTGCTCTGTGGACACGACGCTCACCTGTTTCTGAGGTAACGGACGAAGTCAGGATGGTACATCTTCAGCTTTTCTCCTGACACGTCCTCTCCAAAGTAATTCGAAGGACTGTGGAGAAGACATGACAGTATTGTAAAAATGACACAAACATTTAGTCAAAGGGAAGCTTTTCTGTGTGTTTTAGGCTGCTGTCATTGCTGTCATTGTTCATTTTAAGTTTAAGTCGTCTACTTAAAGTGTTTGTATTTGTCACTGACAGGCTCAAATTGTTATCATGTGTGTCTGATAACATTATGAAAAGGAGCAAAAAGAGAAATGAAACATTTTTCCATAGTTTTCATTTGTTCCGTTCTGTTTTGTGTCCAAGTCTCGTTAACAATAAGTCCCGAAGACTATTTCACGTGTCCAAATCAGCTAAATGTTCAACCATGACATTCAAAATCTTTTAATAAGCTATAACTTGTGTTTCCACTGTTTTTCTTCATGCAACATGTCACCTCTCGTGTCCAACACTCTCTCTTGGACACAAAACAGAAAAGAGATATACCATATTTCAAATGAGAGAAATGCAACTGTGTCATCTTTCACTGAAAAAACAGTCAACTTATGAGTGCTCCCGACAGCAGCTGCCCTCGCTGTCAATTTTATGCCTTTTTGCTGTGGCATGTCTGTTACCTAAGAGGAAGTGTCTGTTGCTAGGTAACTGTCGTTAGCGTGTTTATTGTGTCTTCATGAAAACACATCAATTCCGCCTGTGCAGTTCCCACTTGATGCATGCCTACAAACTGTCTGACAGTCTTGCCATCATGAGGTGAACAGAACAAACGCTAGATGCACTTGCTTGTTTCACTAATATTGTGTGATGGGTCACATGTAGCATATTTTGAAAGACAAGCTGCAGGCCATTTAAAATCGATCTGCAGGCCATGATTGGCCCCTGGGCCAGACTTTGAACATGTCTGGTTCAGAGGGCCACGCAACCCTAACACTTTGCCCTAACCCTCTATCCCAGCAAGACTCAGGACACCCGACTCCTCGACGTGAAACAGAGGGTCGGGTTGATTGGTGAGGGCAAGAGGTGAAGCAGAACCATGAGAGGAGAACATGAGAACATTATTGTGAGTAAACTCTGATCATTATAACAGCCTGTAAGTGTTGCTCACTTTTTGCCCCGCTCAGGTCCTCTCTCCACTGGAGTGTGTGTCGCTGCTGCCTTCATCAGCAGGTAATCACGGTCGTGATCAGGCAGGAAAAAGTATCTTGTTTCCTGCGTGAGAGCAGCAGAGTGTGACGTGACTCAGGTCTGATTCTGTTATGATTTTAGCATGTTATAGAGAAAAGACTTTTATCTTTATGTCCTCACTTTAGACAGAGGGGGTCCCTTATACCCGACGCCGGCGTAGCTCCTCATGGAGTTCATCAGTGTGTTGGTGGAGAATGTGTAGTGGGTGGTCCGAGACCCCACATCCTCCTCAAAGCCCTTAATGATCGCCCCGTTAGTCCTGAAGATCAAAAGTGTCCACAATGAAAACACAAATGTTATGACAGAACAACACGAACATCCTGTTAATTATCCTTTAATCCATCTGTAAACTCAGCAAAAGCCAAACCAGTCTGACTGAGGCAGCTCCTCAGGGCCTCAGGGCTCTGCTCATCATGTTGTCAGAGTTTAACCTTTTGAAGACACACCGGCTCATTCTGCTAACGTGTTTTATGCTAGCAAAAATTAGCATTAGCATTGCAACAGCCAGCTATAGCAGTAAATGCAACATGCTAATCAAGCTAGCAGCTAGCGTTAGCTTCACCCTCTGGTCCAAACATGGTCAACATGGATCCAAAAATCCAAGATGGCGACGGCCAAGTCATAAACCAATGGGTGAGCTCACGTTACGGTGGCTGCGCCCAGTATTTTACACAGTATATGTTATTTCAGTTTTTACCTTTCTGAATGATTTTGTCAGACATTTTTGGAGGTATCAAAACCTGCTTAGGGCCCGATAAAAGGCCGAACACAGGACCCCAAACACGTGGCTTTACAAACATGATTTAAGCTTTTGAACCACAACAAAAAAAACACAAGGGATTTAACTGTCAGGGCAGAGTTTAGCTCGACTAAGTCTTTACCAGGATTACATAACGAGGCTGTGGTCAGTACCTGAAGACGTAATGATGACTGTCGATCTCCTTCCCTTTCTTTGAATCCTTCAGTATGCCACCGTTCCCCACCACAGCACAGTGGGTACAGTCTGATTTATTGCTGCGATCCTTCCAGTCGTCCAACATCCTCCAGTTAGCAGAGGAGTTGAGGACCGACAGAGTTTCCACCAGCGCTGTTGACACAGAAAAACAGAACTAATCTGGATGAGATTTATTTAACACAGAAAAAATCCTTAAATCATGAGACAAAAATTTAGCTCCTGAACCACTGATAATTTTTTTTGTGCCTGTGTAATTGCATCGCCCACAGATTCATTTATGTGCATTTGGTCTGAAAGAAAGAACACCCCCCTGAGGCTCCATGTGTGGGCACACAGACAGGAAGCTGCTATTATCTCAACACGATAAGCATCTTAACAGCGATGAGGCCCACATGTCCTCACTCAGATTATTCAAAATACTTTGCATCTTCTGTCTGGATACATTTGGGATGCAAATGTTTAAACAGAGAGTAAAGCATCAGCTTCAGATGACCTTTAAACACTGTAAATGTACAGTGAGTTACATTTGCATTAAAAAACACACACTGACACGACCTGAACAAAGGTCACATAACAGAATGTGCCAAAAATTATTTCACAGGTTTTGTTATGTCTTGTAAAATTCTGGACTGATGTTTTAAAATAGAGAATTTATTTCTGAGGAAACTGTCATTTGATTCAGGTGTAAAACCACTCTAAAATGTATTAAAGATGCCCACTGTGTGCGTACAGCCTTTTTCAGTTGAAGGAGGAGGACTGGTCGAGCATCTCGTAAATTCTTGATTTTTCTGCATTAATACTAAAATATTCTCCTAAATATTTATTTTTCAAAATCAATGACAATTACAACCTTAAAATTATGAGAAAGGTTTTCATTTTTTAAAAAAAGAAAGAAAAGAGATTCTGCCCATTTTGAATTAACAAAATAATATTGTAAATTCTTGTATTTCTGAATTAATGCGATTATTATGTCAGAATTATGGGAAAAGTTTTCATGATAAAACATTCTACTAGTTTTTCTGAATTAACAAAACATCTAATAAATTCTCTTTTTTGGATTATTGTGATTATTATCTCAGAATTATAGGAGACATTTTATTTTTATTTTTTTCAAATCTGCTCTGTTTTTTATCCGCATTAATGAGAATGAGAACTAAGATTTTTTTTCAAAATCAATGAGAATTATTATCTCATAATTATGACGTATTCATGTTTAAAAAATCTGAAAATGTTTCTGAATTAACAAAAAATATAAATTCTACTTTTTCTAGATTCATGTGATTATTTTGTCAGAACTATGAGAAACGTTTTCAAGAAATAAAATTCTACTCGTTTTTCCTGATTTTTTTTATTTTTTGAAAAATCAATGAGATGATTATCTCAGAATTATGGGAAAAGTTTAATTTAATAAAAAATCTATTCTTGTTTTCTCTGCATTAACAACATAATAACTAATAATTTTTTTTTCAAATTAACGAGAATTATTATCTCAGAATTATGGGAAAGTTTATGAAAAAAAATCTAGTTTCTCTGGCTTAATGAAACAATTTCATAAATAATCATAAATTATTTTTGATTAATGAGAATTATTATCTCAGAATGATGGTAAAAGTTTTATTTAAAAAATTCTACTCGTTTTTTTAATTAACAAGAATATTATTTTTTAATTATGGGAAAGGTTTAATTAAAAAATGCTTTTTTCTTAAATTAATGAGATAAAACAAGAATTTATATTCTCGTTTTTTTTTTAAATTTTACAACATTTTTATCTTTAAAACAAAAACAAGAGCTGAATTTTTTTTCAATGAAAACTTCTCACAACTCTGAGTTAATATATTTTTTATTTTTCTCAAATAAGTTAATTTCACCTCTGTAGGAAAACAATGATTTAAAGAAATAAATAGAAATATGGATAAAAAGAAAAACACACATGTATATATATATATATATACATATATATATAAATATACCAAACCAAGAACTCACTCTTGAAATCGATCCCTCCCCAGCCGTGGGCTCCTGGGTACTGGCTCAGACGCTGGTGATGTTCATAAGTGGCGTGTTGGGCCCACTGCAGGACTGGAATGTGTTTCAGAAATCGTCCTCCAAATTCTGTTTTTGTGACCCGACTGCGGATACTGTCCGGGCAGTCCTGAGGGAGGCAGGTAAAAGACATTTACTCTCACCAGACCACATACAGGAAGTCTTCACCTCGACTCCTCCACTTAGTACCAACATACATTTATGTCCCACATGATCATTACAAAGCCAGATTCATCAGTCGGCCAGTTGCACAACTTCAAGATTAACCTCCAGACTCTCACTGGAGGCAATTATCGAGGAATTACACGCTCACAACCAGAGCTTTAATCCATTCATTCATCATGAAATTTACATGGACACATTTTGCTGATGCATTAAATATAAAACCACATGTGAGCAGATGAAGCATGAAAAGCTTCCACACATGCAAACACGTGAACACATGAATACTTTATCCCATTAATTGTGTTATGTGCCCCTGGTTCTCTGTGCAATCAATTATCGATTCAGCCTCTCTGAACTCTGCTCTTATGTAACAGCTCAGAAACTAAACTGCAGCTTAGCTCAGCTGATCCTTACTTTAAAAGCTGGATCGTACCAAAGTTCAGTGAGTGCACGGCAGGAAATGATCACCATCATTAATACACTGATCATTAAACTTTAGTTAATATTTATTTTACTGTTAAAAAAAAATAAATGATAATAATGTTTATTTATTATTAGTAAAGCTTTAATTCATGTAGTTTAACAGTTTATTGTTGCACACATAACATTTAAGATACTATATTAAAGGAGCAGTGTCAGATTTGGGAGGATTGAGTGACATCTAGTGGTGAGGACTGCAGATTGCAACAGGCTGAAACTTCTGCCGGTTAGAATTCCTTCAGTGTTTATCGTTCAGGAGGTTCAGGCTGAATTATCCACAGAGGTCTCTTCCTCTCCAAAACAAACTCACCTGGTGGTTTAGACCAGTAACAACTATGAAGCAGTTTCACGTTACTAATCAGTGTTTTTCAATCATCCCAATCTCACTTTGGGGTCGCTGAAAACCGGCGACTTCTGGTATTAGACGCCGATGAAAAAAGCTGTCCTTTCACGCCGGTCGCTGTTATTGTTTAATGGCATCCGGTGATAACAGGAGAAATGTGGCAGGACAACAACGAAGGTTAAAGCAGTGAATGTCTGAGTAGGGTGCGCAGAAGAAGGGGTGGTGGATGGGTCCAACAACCGCCGACTTTCACCCAGGAGGCCGGTGTTCACTTCCTGTAAGATTGTAAAGCCAAACCCTGTTCTTTTTAACTAAACCCAACCACGTGCGTGTGTTGTTGAAGGAAAAGAACATCACCTGACCTATGGCTAAGTCCCGCCCTCAAACGCGATGAGCCAATCACAGTGCGTATAGCCATTCCCATACACTGGGACATTCTCTGCCTGGACATCCATTAAAATGCATTACAGAAAGTCAGTTTTGTTCGGTTTTATGAGCTTTTTCTGAGATTTGAAGTTTAAAAATGGTCACACGGTGTGCATGGGGTACATGCAACTCTGACACAAGGTATCCTGAGAGGCTGGGCGACCAGGTGTATTTTTTACACTTTAAACCACATCTCAACCGAGAAAAGTGTCTCCTTTGGATAAAGTTGTGTGGTAACGTTAGACCACAACATCAACTCAACGTGAATAAGATTAACAATGATGTCTACATCTGTTCTAAGGTAAGTCAACATTGTGTTTGAGGCAACATATTGTCACTTTGCTGGAAAGAAATATAAAGTTATCTTTAACATCTCTAGCTAACGTTAGCTAAAGTTAGCCTAACGTTAGCTCCTAGCTGCGTTGTTCATCATGTCACCTTGTTTGCTGGGAGTTCATTAGCCTATTTTGTTCTAGTTTTGTACTTTGGTGATCGTACATCATTGTTAGCTGTTGTCCAAAGGGCTCTAGTTAAGCTAACGTTAACTTCTGGAGCTTAGCTTCATTAACTTATCTGTAATGGCAAAGATAACAAAGGTTGGCAAACGTTATGCTGAATGATTCAGTGTAAATACTGTAGCACCAAACTAACGAAGAGACACTCTTGGTAAAGATGGTAAAAAGGCCGTTATCCTTTTCTCATATTCTGAGCCAAAAACCTTAACTTCAGTGGCACTTTAACTTGTTGTCTTTGATGGTGACGGCAACCAGATGCGGTTCACAAGCGTACACTGTGACCTGTAAATTTTGGCTTGTAATTTAAGCTTTTCATCGACCTTCTCAACAATAAAATGATGAATATATCCCTCCAATGCGTAGTTTAGGCCCTTTTGGTTACTTCTCAATGACATCTGATCGTTATGTCTCCAAAAATCATCAGTTGCCTCCTGTGAAATACCGTGTACTGTGACACCTGCCATAGCGCCGGACACTGAATGTTGATAGTTTGTCCGAGTGAGTGGAGGGGGCGTGGCTTAGCCATAGGTCAAATGGTAGTGTTGTACCGATGTTGTGCTTTTATTTTGAAAGAGACTGTGTATAAACTTTACATTTCCTGTGAAAAGTGTTTGGTTTGTCCGTCCTCAGCTACAGTAGAAACATGGCGATCTCCGTAGACGAGGTAGCAAAATCACAGCGATTCTTACTGTCAGCTGATTAGAAACTAAAGAACACATACTTATTATATTATATTCCATCTCTGCCAATACATCACCCTAAAGCCTACATACTGAACCTTTAATTAAGTATTTTTTTACAGTCAATAATTGGTTTGTAAAGAATCTATAAACATAATTTGTAACTGATGATTATAATACCTTGTTAAATGGTTAATAATTGCTGTTAAATAGGGCATCTATAAACAAATTTGGAAGGCCTTTATAAGGTTGGAATATTTACAGATGCACAACACAGTAATTATTGCTTCACAAACCAGTTATTAACCATTAACAAATACTTCATATACAATGTTATAATGTGTGCAACAAACTAAAAAATAACACATATGACAGCATTACTAATAATTAGGAAACATGGAAGAGACTGGGATTAAACCTCCTACAGAACCATGTGATCCTCCAACGACACGTTCAAAGACTACAAGGCAGATCTGAGTTTAGGTTTTCTCATCCTTTCCTCTCAGCGGACACAAGACGGCTCAGCAGAGAGATTCTGAGCTGATGACACATTCAGGGTGGGAGACGGAGGAGACACGCTGTTATTTAAGTGTTTACTGGAAACTCAGACCCACTCAGTGCGACTGTGGCAGCCGCCCTGATGACCTAATGAATCTCCACCCTGATGAAAACCAGAGGGGTGTGACGATCTGAACTTCTGATGCTCCACAGATGCGACACACCAAATCATGTGACTCATATCAGATGAAGTCAGGTGTTTTCTAGTACTGAGGTTTTTTGTATCAGGCTGTAAACATACTTATTTCTGCTGTACAGTTTTAACATGGGGGTCTGTGGGGACTGACTCACTCCTGGAGCCAGCCTCAAGTGGACATTAGAGGAACTGCAGTTTTTGGCACTTCAGCAGCTTGGTTTGGAGCCACAGACGGAGTAGGGAGAACAGAAGCTCATTGTTGGTACTGTGGTATGACCAAGATGGCAGTCTGACCCAGGAACAGCACAGAAAGCTAATTTACTACGAATAAAAATGTGACTTCAGGATCATTTGAGAGGAGTTATAATCACATAAACACATGGCTTTAATTTCAGAGGTAAACAGACAGAAAATCCAAACAAGCAGAACTCACTGTTTGTGGAGGGATATCTTCACTCATGTAAGTGTCTCCGATGAACGGAGGCTCTGTTGGTCTGGCTGCCTGTGTGGGCTGCTGGCGCTGCAGTGTGGGGCCTTTGGTACTGGTCCTGGTACTGGTTTTATCCGCACCATCAGACCTTGAACTGGACTTTGAGAGCTGCAGGATGCTGTTCTCTGCTGGTTTGTGTTTAACGGCTGTGGGAGTTTGAGTCTTTACAGTTGGAGTGTGTGTGTGTTGATGCAGCTCCGGGGAAAAGTTGGAGGCAGGGGGCAGACGGGTCCACTGGCCACTGTTGCTCTTTCTGTCAAGAGGCTCCTGAGAGTCCTGTGAGCCGCTGTGGAAGACAGAGCAAGATCTGGCGGTGAGCCCAGCAGGTCACTGCTGGAAATAAATCATGTGAACCCCCACATCTCCCTCAGTATGCTCTCATGTGGTGAGATGCACTTAGAAATAATGAGAACAATAATAATGATGACGTAAAAACAACAGCCAAGTCGCCAGAATTTGCACGTTTCATGTGTTTCCTAAGTTTCTATAGTGACGTCGTATATCAAATCATCAAATCAAATTTATTTATAAAGCACATTTAAAAACAACCTAGGCTGACCAAAGTGCTGTACAGTAAAGGTAAAATCACAAAATAACAAAGTGCAGAGATCATGAGTATGAGCTGACTGTGTCATCAGGGGGTGAAGAGGATGGTGTGCTGCAGACCACTGTTCAAGACCAACAAACAACAAAACTGGTTGTGTTTCAGCGAGTCTTCGTTGCATTTCCAGCAGCTTTTTAACCCACAAATGTGGCTGTTTTATAGGGACTCACTGTTGTGTTTTCTGCAGCTTTTAAGTTCCCTAATGTAGTTGTTTTGTAGGGACCCATTGCTGTGCAGTTCCCAAACATGGGTGTATTTTATGGAAGTGTGGCTATTTTCCTGTGTGTTGTGGCTGTTATTCTGTGACCCATCACTGTGTTTGCTGCAGTATTTTAGTTCCCAAACGTGGGTGTTTTTTTGGGACCTTTGGCTTTATTTCCTGCTGCTTTTTATTCTCGAAATGTGGATGTTTTTAGCAACCCATTGCTGTATTTCCCGTTCCCAAACATGACTGTTTTCCTGCAAAGTTTTAGCCCCATGTTGTGGCTGTTGGTTTGTGACTTGTGGCTGTTTTTCCTGTGGGTTTCTAGCCCCCAAATGTGGCTGTTTTATAGGGACCCACTGCTGTGTTTTCTGCAGCTTTTAAGTTCCCTAATGTGGTTGTTTTTTGGGGACTTGTGGCTGTTTTTCCTGAGAATTTTTAGCCCCATGTTGTGGCTGTTTTTTGTGACTTGTTGCTGTGTTTGCTGCAGCATTTTAGCCCCCAAACATGGTGTTTTTAGGGACCTGTGGCTGTTTTTCCAGCAGCTTTTTAGTTCCCAAACATGGGTGTCTTTGAGGGACCTGTGGCTGTTTATCCAGCAGCTTTTTAGTTCCCAAACATGGGTGTCTTTGAGGGACTCGTGGCTGTTTTTCCCGTGGATTTTTAGCCCCATGTTGTGGCTGTTTTTTTTGTCGCCCATCGCTGTGTTTGCTGCAGCATTTAAGCCTCTAAATGTGAGTGCTTTTTAGGGACGAGTGGCTTTTAGTTTCCAAACATGGGTGTTTTCTAGGGACTTGCAGCTATTTTTCCGGCTGCTTTTTATCCCCCACATGTGGATGTATTTTAGGGATCCATTGCTGCTTTTCTAGCCAAAATTGTAGCCTTAAAACTGGGTATTTTAAGCCAAACATGATCTTTACTAACCATAACCAAGTTGTTTTTGTGCCTAAACATTACAGCACATTAACCACAGCGTTGCTGAAAAGTAAAGTTTCGATGTATCTTCTACCTGATAATATACAAATGTAATGTATCTGTGGTTTACAGAAATGTTCCAGGCCAAAATTAATTCAGTGATTGGGTTAAATAATAAAGGAATAATTCAACATTTGGGGAAAATGTTTGTTGGTGTTCTTGATGAGAAGATTAGCACTCTTAAGTCGTGATCTGCCAGTGAGCAAATCTGCTTCAATCCAGCTTCATATTCAGTGGACTGTTATTTTGTGTTCATTGCCTCATCTTACTGTTAAAATCTGTTGACAGGAAGTGTCTGTGGCTGAAAACCACTGACGGGGTTAAGTGAGAAATTATTTTGCAACTTGGGGAAACCAACCCTTCAATCAACTTAATAACTTTCCACAAAACAACACATCAAATTAAATACATAACAATATGGGAGGAACCAAAATTCATTTGGACAAATAAGCTGATTTATGACTCACATTTCATAACTTAGAAAACACGTTACAGTCATGAGAGCGAGGGAGGAGGCTGTGGTTTGTTTGAGCCATTTGAGGCGCTGAAAATCTTCTCTATCCTATCTGCTTGTCACAAGAAGAGATGGTTATCAGATGGCACAGTGATGCAGTGGTTAACAGGTCACCTCAGAGCAACTGGGATGTGGGTTTGAACCCGCTGGGGCCCCTCTATGTGGAGTCTGAATGCTCTCCCCTTTCAAAATACTTGTTAGAAACATTGTTGGCCTTATTGTTTCAGTAGGTTCACAAAAATATCCTGACTCGCAGTGATGAGGTTTCTCCCAAACTTTAACACAGATTGTTGCTGATTTTGTCTGATATTTCATGTAGAGAAACATCCTGTAGTAAAAGAAGCGTCAGTTTCAGGTAACCACTGCTCTTATCATCACCCTGACCCGACCTGACACACCAGATGCTGCTGATGTCACCATCAGCACTAAGTAAACCTCGTAAAGCCGCTAACGAGACACAAACGCAGTAAAGCAGCTGAATTAACGTGTAACTGGAACTTGTTAATGTTGAACAGAGACCAAAGGTTGAGCCACAGAGAGGACAGAAGGACAGTAAAACGCTTGTTTGTCTTTTATTCGTCACCTTCAGAGAGTTTGTAGAGGAACAGAGAAAGATTAAATAAACCAGAATAAGAATAAATCAAAGATATTGTTTTTGTTAATTTTTTTAAATTTGTAAAATAAATAACTACAAAAAAAAATAGATTTTTTTTTTATTATTATTATTTTTGTTAATTTTTTTTCCTTGATTCTTTTGGATGGTAATTATTGTGCTGAAAATTATTATTATTAAGTGCACTTGACTACTTAATACACATTTAATATTGGCATACTAACAATGTCCTAAACATACTGTACTTCTTTTCAATATATACACCATTCTTTTGACAACGCTGTATCTCAATAGGGTCATGGCAAAAATGTTTTTCAAAAATTTACTCAAATTTTTTTTTAATTGATTTTCTTGTGTTTTTTCCTTTCCTTTTCTCCCTAAAAATATGTGAATTAAAGATGATCAAAAATAATAATTTCATTTCTCATGTCTATTTCCTCCTATTATTTCCACTTTTCTTTTTTTTTTTGTTCCTTGACCATTAAATTAAATATCACTATACGGTGGTCATGGAAAAAAAAATCTTACTTTTTATATTATTAATTTTATTTTATTTTTATTATGTTTTTTTTCTTTGATTCTTTTGGGCGGCAATTACTGTGCTGAGAAAAGTATTAATTAAAAATTATTAAAAATAATACTATTTACATTTGTCATGGTTTTTTCCATGTTTTCACAGGATTTCTTTTTTTTTTTTTCAACTTGACTGATACTTATTTAATATTGACATATTTAACAGTGTCCTGAACATACTGCATGTTTAGTTCAATATTCACACTGTGCTTTTGACAATACTGTATTATAATAGGGTCATGGCAAAATACTTTTGTAATATTACATTATTTTAACATGATTTTTAACTTTTTATTATGTTGAATATGAATAAATAAATGAATAATTTTGTAACATTTTATTATATTCTTTTTATTTTATTTAAAGATTTTTTGGGGGCATTTTTTGCCTTTAATTGATAGGAAAGCGAAGTGTGAAGTGGGGAGAGAGAGAGGGAGTGACATGCAGCAAAGGGCCACAGGCTGGAATCGAACCCGGGACGCTGCGGCAACAGCCTTGTACATGGGGCACTTGCTCTATCCACTAAGCCACTGATGCCTAGTTTAATTATTATTTTTGTGTTTGATTTTTTTTGGTAGATTATTATTCTCCTAATGAATTATTGACTAAAAATTAAAATAATCATAATAATAATAATAATATTTACATTTCTCATGTTTTTTTTCCTCCTATTTTTCCATATTTTCTCTTTTTTTGTGTCTTGGCTATTTAATTCATATTCAGTACTGACATACTTCACAGTGTCCTGAACATACTGCATGTTTAGTTCAATATTCACATGGTGCTTTTCCAATAATGTATCTCAATAGGGTCATGGCACCAAAAAACAGAATGTAAAAGGCTCCGCAGTCGATGAACAACATGGAGGTCTCCTACATCAGAGAGCAGCAGGAAGTGAGGAGGATATTTTTACTCTGGCATTCAAATTAAAGACGAGCTTTTCAAATGAAAGACCTGCAGCTCCACACGCTCACACTCACCATTCAGTGTGTGAAACAGACCTTTGAGAAGCAGCCATCTTTTCCATTTCTGTCCCTCGACTTAGTGCATTTTATCTGGACGTGCTGGCTTTTAAAGCTGGAGCTCTGCCCGTTACAACAAAGCTTACATTTCACAGACGCGTGTGAGAGACCACCTCCAGTGAAATAACTCCAGGGGCTTTTTTTGCATTAGTGCAGCCGGGGCGCTGTGTGGCTCCTTTGTTAAACCACAATGATACAAGGAGAGGGGGAATAAGTGCTGCTTACAAAAAAACCATGGAACTTTTCATACCACTCACTCATGATCTAAAAGTTTAACCCTTTAACGACACCGTCCTGTTTTACTGCTGCGTCTGGCCTCAATTATCTGCTGCTCTGCCATTCAGGAAATCTGAGACAACATATGGATCCTGTGCAGTCAGTGACAGTCAAACATGTTCCTGTCATGTTCCCTTTGAAGCCCATCTGATTTCTAAATGAAACAATGACCATGAGGCCTCGCAAAACTTCTTTCTCAATCTGTGTCCTACTACGAGCGACGGAGTTTACACCAACAAATCATTTTCTGACAAAGCCGATATGTTTTGTTTTTTTCATGTAAAAGATTTTTTTTTTTCTCTTCTCACTTGGTAAACACCATAACTACACCAGCGTACATGTGTAATGCGCTGTAGAAACATGGTGACACAGACCTCCTGTCTGTCTCTGTAAGCTGAAACCATTTCCCTCAGTGGAAACAAAGCTTTGATTTATTTTAATTTCACAGATAAGAAACAATAAATTGTGAAGACAATAAAGCCTCCACACACTGTGTGTCATTTATCCTGGCTGAAATATGAGCAGAGGAAATCTCTGTTAGCTGCTAGGTTAATTTATACAACTTAAAATGCCATAGGCTTGTGCTAATAACATTAGCATGTTGTATTTGTGTGGAAAATGTGTCCAGATAAAGACAAGTGTTTGTCTGTGAATGCTGCGAGTTATAGTGAAGCTGAGTTGTGTTTGAAACTGTCTCTATTAAGTCATGTTTAATATGTGTGTTTAACGTGTGTTTAATGTGTGTTTTGAATCAACTAAACTTTACAGCACTTCACAGAAAGCCCGTCACCAACTAGTGGTTTGGAGGTGTAACTGCAGAGTGACACAGACACACCACACAGGGGCTTTTAGTTGGTCTCTCAGATTTAATTTAAGGGTGTTTACATTCACATCAGATCAACAAACTAAGAAGAGGTAAAGTAAACAAACACTATTATGGGAAGCGTAGCATATTTTTGCTTCTGTTGCATCCATTTTGACTTTTGCAAAAGTGTCTCTCACGAGTTGCCAGCTAAATCTCTGGAGTACATGTTCAAATGAAGTCCTGATATTTCATGTCTGGTGTCAGATTCTTTGCACACTGTGTATCTTCCTTGTTGGTGTCTGCACTGTAGTTACACTTCCTGCTTGTTTTGGGGAATTTTGCCTTTTGTTCAGACCTCAGCAGGTCAGAAACATGATCAGCTGGATGATGGATTATACTATTATGGCTGGTTATGTAAAGTAAACTTCCTGGTTGCTTTCCTGTGTGTGTAGGATCACTGTCCTGCATGTACAGAGTCAAGATTTTAACCTCACAGTTTAATATCATTAAAATGACTCCATGTGTCAGTGTTCAGGTGCTGTTGCTCCCCTCACCTGTATGTTGTCCGTATGAAGCCATGGAAATGCTTCAGAGGCATTGGGGACCAGGGCAGACGCGTCTCCAGGTTCACACACAGGATGTAAACACACAGCAGGGAGAAGGCGGTCACCACGGCAAACACCAGCCTCCTCTGGACCGCCATCCCCATCAAGGAGCGTATGGCTGCAGCTGGTGGGCTGTGTGTGCTCGCCCTGCCCTCCGCTCCACCTGCAGGGACATGAGGAGGCAGAGGATGGAGGCAGGCGAGGATGTTGTCCTGCTCAGGACAGCTTCTGTCTGTGTTGGTGAAGCAGGGGAGGGAAGACGGAGCGTTGTGATGGTGGGGATTTAATTAGCCCGCAGCAGGATCTGGGCTCCACTGTGGGCTTCTCTCAGCAACACTACAGTGGGAGGGAGACAGACACAGAGAGTTGGAACCAGGGCACAGAGTCTGGGGGGTGGGGGGGGCAGGATGGAAGGGGAAACTTTATCTTTCAGCGTCCCAAATAATCCCTTTTTAATGAAACCTTTTCTCATGCCCCTGAACACAAAGTGCAGGGTCACAATCTTCATATCTTTTTGTGTGCTGCTTTTATTTATCTCCGTGCTGCTCTCACTGTTCCTGAAAAGGTACAAAAGACAAAGCACAGCTGGTGCACACAACAACATTTAAAAGATTCACACATTTAAAGGCGGGCCGGCCCTGGACGTCTCAGGGCTCTGAGCAGGATTTGGTTTGAGAGGGTCCCTCCATCATTGTGTCACCACTTCACATGGCACTGAACCCATCAGTCTGTTGTAAGTATTCATTTAAGCACACATAATGACAAAATCAGTACGTAAAGACTAAAGTGGGACCTATTCACTGCAACACAATCATTAGATAGACGACAGCCAATACAGTATTTGTCTATGACTCCTCCAGCCCAGTGAGCAGTCCTCTTAAACTGACCTCCAAATGTAATTTACTTAACATTAATTATGAGCTGCAGTGCTGGCAAACTGTCAAAGAAGAGTTTGTGAAGATACTCAGCCCAGTCGCCAGAAGAAAATGTTAATGCAAACCATGAACATGTTACATTTGTACATTTCTATCTATCATAACATTTCTAAAGTGTCGTAATATATAAGCTGACTTTGTCCTCAGGAGGTGGAGGGGATGGTGGCTGGTGTGACACGTAGGCACGAGCCCTGCCAGGCTGCAGACCACTGATCAAGACCAAGAGAGAACGAAACCAGTCATGATTTACAGAGTAATCACTGTGTTTCCTGCAGTTTCCTAAACATGGATCTTTCTGAGGACTTGTGGCTATTTTTCCAGCAGCTTTTCAGTTACTTAACGTGGGTGTTTTTTAGGGACCTGTCGCTGCGTTCGTGCCCCCAAACCTGGGCATTTAACCATGACCAAGTGGGTTTTGTGCCTAAACGTAACCACAGCAATGTGTCCACTAGTCATGATTTGCAGAAATGGACAATGGCAGCATTTTTGCCGCCGATCAGGTACTTATCCTAGTTGGTGTTTTCATTCTTGACTTGTTCATTAATTTTGTTTAACTTATCAGAACTAATGTGATTTTTGTTTTATCACAGCATCATGGTCGTGCTCGTTTTATTGGAGACAGTAAATTATTACATAAATGATCCATTTTACCAGTGTCTGACCGTTTTGTTTTTCACTTTTTCTTGGCAAAAATGGCATAAAATCTCAGATTTTTTCAAGGAAATTTAATTTTTATTTCATTATCATCTCTTTTACATAAAAGAAAATCTTTTTACACCCCTCAGAACCCAAAGGGTCTCTACACAACTGCTCAGCCATTATCTACTCACCCATATGCCGAGGGAGGCTCAGGTGAAGTTTTAGAGTCCTCACATCACTTGCAGAGATCCAAGGGGAGAGGAGGTAGCAACACAACTCCACCTAATGGAGGCTGACGGCGCCCCAGATGCAAACGTCCAAAAACACATCATTGAAACCACAAAATATCTCCATACTGCTCGTCCGTAGTGATCCAAGTGTCCTGAAGCCCCGATAAAAAGTTGTTTGGAAAAACCTCATTTGAACTCTGTTTTTCACTGCGCTCACGTGTGCGCGCTTGCGCGAGACCGTGAGACATGTTGGGGCTTCTGATATATCTTATCTCACCAAAATAAATGTTGGCATTTAACATTTCTGCGAACGTGTGATATTTAACATTTGTACGTTATGATGTAGCGGACATGTTAAAATTTACACTGTGATAAACATGTGGTTAAGTTTATGGTCATGGTTGGGATGAGATCATGTTTTGGCTCCAGATACCCAGTGATGGGGAACAATGTTGCCAAGGAAAGCAGCAAAGTCTTGATAGAAAACAAATGAAGCTCAGCTTCGTGAGTTCAGTCAGGAAGAGTTTCTTCATGCTACATTCATTCACAGTTTTCTCTCTCTGTCCCACCGCTGAGCGCCCTCCTTCGCTCCGTTCACCTCCAGTCACCTTATCCAGAGCCCAGGACGAGCTCATAAAAAGCTCACTCCTCTTCACATGCAGGAGGCGGCTGCACAGAGCACCTGAAGTGAAGTTTCCTTTAAATCCGAGGTAAGATTTCCTCTAAATAAAATCAGTTGCACATAAAGCTTAAGTCCTTAAGTTTTTCTTTTGCGTAAAGTTCGTTAAACCGTTGCACAGAGGACCTTAGCAACCAAAGTAAGGGAGCGATCACACCGAGATGAAACGCTAGAAACGCCACACCAGTAAAACCATTGTTTTCCTATGATACGGCGCGTCTGACCGGCGTTCAAGCGTCTTTTTAGACAGGCGTTTTTATAGATGCTTCTTTTTAGACGCGTAGATGCTGAAAAGTTAAAATATTTTCAACTTTTTGAGCGTCAGACGCCAGTAGCTAGCGTGCATTGAATAAGTATTTCCTTTTTTTTTTACTTGTCTGCATTGGTCTTCATAGCTTAGCGCCACTAAAGGGTGTAAGCTTCTTGTGAAGATTGATGCACTGATTATCAAAAATAAACATATACATGTCTACTATACTGTACTGAAAAACAAAAACAAAAGAGAAGTCTATACTGAACACCAAAAATGTGAGAGTCTTGGTGGAGGGGGAAAGCCCGATTGCAGAGAAGAGTTGCCAGCGCGGTGTGGTAGGTTTGAGAAGCAAGTGGGCCCCTTTGGAGTGATCCCATCGGTTCTTTGCGATGTGTCACGGAGCTGAAGTATCGAACATGCATGTGTGTATTTGAACCCTCCCAATGTGTTTATGAAAACCATCACCAGGGTCCAGGGCCAGCCCTG